TGAATATAGAGAGATTACAAATTGAGTGGCAAAAAAAGAGGAAAGAAAACTTCTCCTCAAAAAAAAGCCACAGAGCAGTATTTATAATTATACATAATTATACAAATAAAAAGAAAAAAAAAAACAAAAATAAAAGTTTTATGCTCATCCAAGTATCAATTGCCACTATGGATCGATCAGTATATATTTTGGCATGGCGTGAGTGCCATACCAAATATCGTCTCTTGTGTATTGGCCGAGGCCCGCGATGTTAATATTAGGATGATCCCCACATTTTAACCCTAGTTAAGTTAGATTGTTCATTATAATTAATTAAGTATTCTAGATTTTGCATAAATAATAAAGAATATAAATAATATATTATAAATTTAATTTTCAAAACTCATTTTCGCGCCCCCTTAGGCGTGTGCCCGCATTTTTTGCATGCATCGCATGCAAGACAGGGCCGGCCCTATATATTGTTAGGTTGTAGAAATAAATGAAAAAATAAAAATGTAGAAATGAAAAAATGACAAAAAACGCTTATCATTGATTGACATTGAAAATATTTAACGCATTGTTTGACCCTAGACAATATTAGAATACCCCGTGTTGTTTGACATTAAAAACAAATGAAGACCAGGGCCTTTTCACTTAGAACAAAATCCTCGTTCAGAAGGAATACTTAGGGGTCCATTTGTAGTCGCAGATTTGGCGCTAGTGAGCCGATGAAAAAGTATTTTCAAATGTTTTATGTTGGTTACTAAGAAACGTCAAAGTTATTTTTGTGACATTTTACAAAATGGCGATTCTTGTTTGTTTGTGTTTGTATATTTGTTAATAAAGATTTCATCAGGAATTGCTCTCAAATGCTACATTACTACGTAATGCATTGACATATTAGTCTAATCATAATACACTTTAAGGAAAGAGGTCAGTTCTAGGAAATTGTGTAAGAAATCAAGTAAAAGACATGAAACACAAATAAAAAGCTGTTCCAGCTGTTTAAAATTGGATTACCACTTCACACGGATCTTGGGAGAAAATGAATTGCTTAAGAATGTCAAATTTTGCACGGGATGATTATTAGTTAATAAGAGTTAAGAATGACAGACGATGTAATGAACCTACACTATATGCATTATTCACTAAATTTCAATAAATATTTATATTAATAAGTAGAAAAAAGTGTAGAAGTTATTCCAGTAGATTAGATGTGATATCTATTATCTATAAACCGGTGTATTGCAGTGTATTTATTGATTTATATTTCGATTTGATTGTATATTTATTATAATATAATATTATCTAGTATATTTTTGTTATTACTGTATTATATAAAACATAATCCGATTATAATACCAAATTTAGTTTCAAATACCCGTGTACTAAAATTCATTAATTTTCATTTCAAATATCGATAGAAGAACTAATACGAAAAATATGTTTTATAATGTTTAAAAAAATACTTTTAAGTTACTGGCTACTGAAAATTCGCTTCTTTTTGCAAATATCTCCAAGAATATACATTTTAACGAAAATCATGTAATGAACAAAATTATAGCAAATTATAGCAATTATAATCTTAATATATCGGTGTTTTATAACGTGTCCTAGGAATAATATTAAGCTAGATATGAAAATTCAATTTTTATTTCGTGCGAGATTTAATTGTTGTATTTGAAGCCATCTGGCGGTTACATTTTATATATTATTATACATTTTAAATATTATTATATTTTATATATTACATAGAGTTTTATCGTGCTCAAAATAAGCTATAAAATATGTACTGTTAAGGGTCTGTTTTTTTTTTCATTTAAATCAAATAGTTTTATGAGTGCCATTTCCACCAAAATTGAAATTAATCGTATTTCATCTAGAATTAACTTGGTTCAAGAGATTCCAAATTATCATGCAAATAAGTAATAATGTATATCAAATTAATATTAAAAAAATGTAATTTAGATATTATTACTGAAAATTAATATATAGTACGAGACTATAAAAATTATGGGCAACATTATAGAAGCGCAATTATTTTGAGTGAAAAAATCCAAGGGGATGTTGTACTTTAACCGCGGATACTATTTATTAATTCTTTCTGAATTCGTTATACTGTTTGAAAGACTACAATTCCCAATACTGTCTACAATCTACATCTACAGGAATGACTAAAAATGTTGGATAACCCTTGGCATTAAAATAAATTGAGCTATTGAAAATCAATTTGTTCAATCAATTGTTGTGTTTTTTTCTAATATACTATTTTACTGGACATATTTCAATATTTGTTTGTTTGATGGTTTACGTGACTGATTTGAATTTCAACTCAATCAATAAAAATTAAAATTCATTATATTTAGATAAAGTGTTCAACCGTTTATTTCGTAAATAAAGATTTCGCTTTCATTAAAAACAATTTTCATTTGATATCTTTGAAATGTATACTTAATAGTAATTGTATAAAATAAATCAGTTTGTTTAACGCATTTCGTGTTTGTGTAACGCATTCAATCTCTTCGTGTTCTGAAAATGTATTTTATTTGAGTGTGGAAGTAAACTGTAATCAGTAGGTACCAACGAAACAGCGCATGCATATGCTTCGGCAAAGATTCTGATTAGATGCTCACAACACGAACTTAACTTTGATTAATTTTTATAATTCAACCGCTTATTAATGTCATGCTAGGCTAATGAAATCTACCTTTGTACAAAGTTTTATCAAAATGTCAAAAAAAATTCAACATTTAATTACGAAGAAAGGTCTCGGCCAATCAAAATTATGGGCTAAAAACGTGAAAGACTTTTACACTTTTTTGCTAATTACAAAGAAACATCCAATTTTTGAAATTGGTCTAGCCGTGTTTGAGAAAACGTCGACAAAAGATCAAAAATCGGTTCACACAATCTCATACATAATTTTTTCCAAATTTGGTCTCATTCGATTCAAAATGACTTGAAAATTGAGTGCTGTGTATGATAAATATGGTGAGAGGTTCCATTTCCTTAAAGGAAAAGCGCTATCAAGGAAAGTGAAGTGCTGGAATGTTAACAGAAAATTTTTGAAGACATATAGACCAAGAATCAAGAAAAATATTCAAGAAAATCCTAAGCGATTGCTAGATACAGGCTTCTGTAAGCGTATCTGATTTTTGTACTTTTTCTGAAAATATATACTTCGATGCCACAAGAAAACTTGGAAATGTTGGAAACAGTGGTATTGTCAAAAATCACTACATACAGAAAATGATTTGATAAGGGAATTATGGAATTATCATTTAGCTATGGAGAAAAAGAAATCCAGCCATTATGTTCAGAGATTATATTGATACTGAAGGAAAGGTAATTCCTAAAGATATAGAAATCTTAATTCGATAAATAAATATTGTGCATTGCATTTCGACAGAGTGTGAGGGCAGATTCAGTAATATGAATATTATTTTAAATGAACAAAGAAATAGAATATTAAGCAAATATTTTAAATATTTTATTTATAAAAATGAATGGCCCACAAAAATTATTTTTAATCCCGATAATTGTGTAAAAACTTGGTTAAGGTCTCATCGCTCAGCGGATGGCAACAAAACAAGGAAAAATCAATTAATTTTAGCGTTCCGGTAAAAAATAATATTAGCATCACACTACTGGTTGGAAAGTGTGAGACTTGTAAGTAGTAACAGGAATAAAATTCAGAATGCTTCTAATATATTATGTGGCCATAAACAATATCCCGCCAGGCGCACAATCAACAGAACTGAAATTGTGCTGCCGCAAAGTTTCAGTTTGCGTCACTATTATAGACTAATTTCAAATTTTGTATATTTTATTTACATTCATATTTGTCAATCTATGATAACGTTAGACACTTTTTCTGGTATAAATGGTAAAAAAATACGAAGGGGTTTGTTGCAATTCTGGGGCTTATTGCAATGCTAAAAAACTATTGACGGTCATTCCTAAAGAAAAGCTCTATGTGAGAAAAAGATGAAAAGAAAATAGACAAAAAATGATGAAATTAATAGGAAAGACCAATGAAAGAAGAAGTGGAAAGCCAAATATAAATCAAATTAAAACCTTTTATGTTTAAAATCATAATCTGAATCAGTATAGTGAAAATTTCCAGTAGGTAGTGAACTTTACATAGATTTAAATACAGAAAATTGGTTGGAGTATATCCTTTATAAGAAGTAGGCACAAGTAGGATGTGTTACAATAAAGCTGGAGTAGACAGATTTTTTATGTTCAGATTAAGATTTTGAATGAGAAAGTAATATTGCCCCGAATGTGGTAAATTTTGCATACATTCAAATAAAAAGGATTGGGTAGAGTATATCCTTTATAAGATGTGGGCATATATAGGGTGTGTTAGAGTAGAAATGTTTTGCACTTACTTTAAATAGCTGTCAAAAATAATAAGATGTTAACACTTTGTTGGCTATCTCTATAATTTCATACCAAATGATTTGACGGGCTGTAATAATAATAATTTAAAAATAATTTAACGTAATGTAGCAACACAAGTAGACCATGACTTCAAAAATCTCATAACACCATAACCCTTATAATACGTAATGGAGCTTATGGTATTCTACACTATAGACATTATACATAAATAATGTATAATAATATTATGCATAGAGCATAGCACATATCTTATTTTGTTTTTCTACTGCCAAACCAACTTTGCTGCTTGTATTGCAACATCACTTCGTGTTTTGTGTTGGTAACAAACTTGTTCAAAAGTTATCGGGAACATGTTGTATTTTATTAGTGTGAAAACCGCTCCAAAATAATGGTCAAAAATCATGGTTTTATTTTTATTTGATTCAATTGAGGAAGAGTTAAGTATATGTTAACTGTTATTTTGTAAAAAATAATCAATGGATTTCAAGATAAAATAGTTTTTATAAGAACTCTAAAACTATATACTATACTTCTGCAAACATATGAGAAACGTCTAGCCAAGGATGAAAAATACTAGCATTGTTAGATTAACTATTTCAGAAAATTTTACATACTGCGGTAACTTCTTCAGCCAAACTAATTTTTTGACCCAAAGCTAAACCAATAACATTAACACCATTTGGTCTCTTGCGCAGTTTTTGTAGTTCTTTCATTTCTTCCAACTTTGAGCTACAAAAAACAGAACGTTTGTAAAATTCAATTTCATTTAAAATAATAATTACAATATGAAGTACTTATATACTTTATTTCTGATGAATTATCCTCTGTAGACTCTTCGTCTTCTGATGAATCTTTTCGTTTACGTATAGATTTTTTTTTCGTTGATTTAAATACGATTGGGGCTTTTTCACTGTCCATGTTTGTGAATAGGAAATAATATTTTATTATTGGAAAGAACACTCAAATTAGATTGAAGATAAAAAAATATTTAAACAGTTTTAGTAAATATAATGGAAATTTGCGTTATTAACTATTTTATATTATTTTATATTCAAAGGTTATGACAGATTATGATGTTAATATTTACAAAACAAATGTCATTTTTTTCATTGAACCATAGACATGTCCAGCAGTAGATAGACTTGGGCAACATTGTAAAGGTGCATCCACACCTAACGAACGAACACGAACGAACATAAAAGAACGTACCAGAACGAACGGCAACAGCATAGTGTGCCACAACGATCACGAACGAACATAAACAAACATGGCGAGCAATGTTCCGCAACTTTTTTGATGTAAAAATGTGCAGTCCTGCATTAGTTTTTGTTGTGTTTATAATAAGATATTGATGTTATTGACAAAATTTGATGACTTTAAATAATTTTGCTCTTTCTCGCCACTTTAAATAATGAATCTGGCGTTTCACGGTACATCCTTGAACAAAAAGATTCAAGCCCTCACTGCTTTGAGGCGTTTGTTTGGAATTTTTTGCGTTCGTTCGTGTTCCTGTTCGTTCTTCTTTGTATTTTCTTGTTCGACATGTTCGTTCGTGTTCGTTCGTTAGGTGTACGCACCTTAATCTGAAGCTGATTACATAGATAAAAGAAGAGATAAAAGAAAGAATGTATATTACCCTATGATTACCCTGTTTTGGAAAGGACTACTATTTTCAGCGACAAAAAAATTTCCCTACTAGTTTCGATATATGAAAAACGTCAAAATTACAAAGATTTGCTCGCCATTTTGTATCAAAGATTGTTACCCAAGTTCGCATGTTGTTTCTGTAATTAATTGTATTCAAGTAAGCATTTATGTGAAATTTAATATGGCGAAATGTAACGCACCAACTTGTGGTAACTTCAGAAATATTATAAAAAGGCACTTCTTTCCGGTCTTATGAAGTGAACAAATTAGAAACGTCCAAATATATTTCACAGAATAGTTCTCATGTCTATAGTTCACAGTGATATAAGAAGAGAATGACAATCTGATATGACCAGGAGAACACTCTGCAACTCCAGTGGAAAAGGTAATAATAATTCTGAATATTTTAATACCATTTGCTATTACGTCTTGATATTATATTACAATATGTTATGTTTATTAGATGTTCTTGGGAATATAAATTGCAGCAGAATGTAGTGACTAAAGATAGAAGTGTCCTGACACCGAGGGCATGTAAAATGTATGACACATCCATTATATTTGAGGGAGTTAAGAAGGTTAGCAAACAATGCAATAATTTAGGGTATAAATTGCAACATAGTATAAAATGCCCAAAAATATTCTTAACATTCTGGAAACAATAAATGTAAGGACAAGAAATGTTATATTGCTTCAATTAAGAGTCAGCCGAAAGGACCTCTGCACTATTCTATTGATACAATCGAATCATAAGGAATTCAAGATTTTGTAGAATGCAACTTTATTAATGATTGATTGGAAATAACTATCAAATGCAAAGTTAATGTTAAAGAAGAATGACTCTTAATGAATTTTAATTTTTGGAATTTAGTTTTCTATCAATTTTGATATCAATATATATATTTTATGTCTGTGGGATTTAACTTTTTAAATTTGTTCATTATTTGTCATTTCTTCTGATTATACTATTCCATTATTTATAGTATATACTCTATATACTACATACTTAGACTCTATACTTTTCTCTTCTAAGTTTTTATCTTTTTAATATATTATTATTAGTCATTAAGTAATTAATATTAGTCAGTTCATGTAAATTCATTATACTTATGAGAGCTTTTACTATATTTCTGTATAGTTGTTATATATTGTTGATCATTAAGTAATTCATATTGATCGTTCCTTTTAAGTTTATCATTTTATTGTAAATGTTCCTACACAATTTCTGTGTAGTTGTTATATATTGTTGATCGTTAAGTAATTCATATTGATCATTTCTTTTAAGTTTATCATTTTTTTGTAAACAATCTCTGTGTAGTTGTTATATATTGTTGATCACTAAGTAATTCATATTGATCGTTTTTTTTAAGTTTATAATTTTATTGTAAATTCTCCTACACAATTTCTGTGTAGTTGTTATATATTGTTGATCATTAAGTAATTCATATTGATCATTTCTTTTAAGTTTATCATTTTATTGTAAATACTCCTACACGATCTCTGTATAGTTGTTATATATTGTTGATCATTAAGTAATTCATATAGATCGTTTCTTGTAAATTTAACATTCCATTGTGAATACTTTTTTAGTTACTTATAATTGTAAAATTATAATACTTATTATTATATATAAAAATCAATATATTTATAAAAAATTAATTGTTATGTAAAAATGTTTGTGATTTATTTGAAAATATATTTTGTACTTTGTATGTTTTTTTCCAATATAAGTTCATTTCCAAAATAAGAAATTATTTAGATTTTCTTGTTTTGAATTACGTATGCGAATCATATCTAGGAATAATACCAGTGGTTAATTTATATACTGTACAAGTGCTGTCCCTTCAAATCGCTGAAAGAATTAAAATGGAGGTGATGTCAAATGACCCGAGATAGCGATCTATTTATGTTTACTTATCTATGAGTATATGGCTGATTATATGCACTAATATAAGTCACCCAGTGTAAATTTATCATATTTTTTGCACTAGTGAACCGATGAAAATATTATCCAATGTTTTATATTGGTTAGTAAGAAAAGTCAGTGTTATTTTTGTATCAGTTGACAAAAAGATACAGGACATAAATACTACGTAATGCATCGACAGAATAGTCTAATCATATTAAACTTTAAGAAAAGAGGCAAGTTCTTTTATTATGTTAGTTACAGAAAATTATCTAAGAAATCAAGTATAAGCTTCTACAAGAAAGACATAATATTTAGAAATCTTCTAGCTGTTAAAAATTGGATTACCACTTCCCACGGATCTGAATATACTTAGAAGTAAATGAATTGCTTAAGAATGTCTAATTTTGCACGGGATGATTATTAGTTAATGAGAGTTAAGAATAGCAGACGATGAACGAACACTATAAAGCATTATTCACTAAATTTTACTAAAGTTGATATTAATAAGTAAAAAAAGTGTGAAGTTATTCCAGTAGATTAGATATTATGTATATTTAAACTGGCAGTGTTTTTGTTGATTTATATTTCGATTTGATTGTCTTTGATTATTGTATTATTACAAAACAAATACGATTGTAATACCAAATTTAGTTTCAAATACTCAATTACTAAAATTCATTAATTTTTATTTCAAATTTTGCGCCATTAATTTGAATGCCAAAAGCAGCGCCCTCACGTCTGAGCAAAGGACCCTTTAAATATCCCTGCTAAACGTAAAAAATGGGATATGAATACATCCATCTTCTTTTATCTATGTATGGATCTATGCTACTATCCTACTGTCAATGTCATATACTTTGAATCATTGATAAATAAGCTTTGCACACATGGTTTCATGGTTTCAATTTCAACTTTGTTTAATTGGTTTAATTGTATTTTGTCATCTTGCAATAATTGATTGACTAAACCAGACTAAACCTTTTTATTTTTTTTTTTTATTTATATACATAGTGGTTATTAACGTATTAAAAAGTAAGTATTCTATGAACATTCTATCAATTAATTTTGCTCTCTACTCTTAGATTTTTATATATTTTCTTCATTTTACTTAGTAGCAAAAGGAAAATATGAATGAAGACATATATCCAAGCGATTTTAAAAATTCACAACAAGTTTTTCCCAAGTTCTCCAGACCTTCAGTAATAGGTCATTTTAGTGTTGACGCCGACAGAAATGTCGCTCATGACTTGTCTCAACTCAAATTCTTGCACATGCCTGCTTGTATGACAAATATCGGATTCAATTTAAATAATGGCATTAATCAAACAGTTCATAAAGATGAGAAAGCTCACGAAGAAAAACTAGATCATCTATTAAAATTCATTGTTTATAATCGAAAGCAATTATGTAGCCCAGCAGCAACAACGAATTTAATAAATTTTGATATAGTCTGTTTTAGGGGTCTATTGACCAAATTAATGTGTACGCCCTTTGAAAATCGTGAAGGTTGGAATATATTAGCCCAAAACTGGAAAGGAACAACATATCTGTGTGCTTGGGAATCTGAAAAAAGTAAAATGAAACGGCTTAAAGATATCAAATATCAAAGAAAGTTTATGTCTTGGGGCTATAAATTTGAACAGTTTTTACTAAGTTCAAGTCCCCAAAGAAAACCTGATATTACAATACCTGTAATTGAATCTGAAGAATTTTGTTGTGTATTCAAGAGTAAATTAGATGATTTAAGACTTTTTTATGGAGCTGAAATGGATGGTATAAATACAACTAATTTGTATTTTAATTTCAAAGATTTAGATAAAGCACAATTTGTAGAATTGAAAACAAATAGAATTATTACCACAGAAAACCAAAGTAGAAATTTTAAAAAAATCAAATCAATGAAATGGTGGTGCCAAAGCTTTCTGGTAGGTATAGATGAAATTTTATGTGGTTGCAGAGATGATAATGGAATTTTACTCGAAATAAAGCCTTATAAAGTTAAAGATATTCCTAAAAATAATGACAACTTCTGGAGCGCAACAGATTGTATGAATTTTTGTAAAGAAGTTCTATATTTTATGCAAAAAATAGCTCGAACTCATCAAAATCAAACCATATTATTTAGTTGGAACCCTGGAGATAAAATCACATATGAAATAGACAACGACAAAAACTTTTTGCCCACCTGGTATTTAGAAACTATGAGCAAAGAGGATATAATTTGACCCTATTATCAAAATTTTAATATTGCAGTATTATAACATATGCGTAACAAGAAATTTGGTTGTTTACGGATTCCAATTTATATGAAATCCAATATCCTTTGTAAATGCCGTCATTATGACCCTTCGCAGTTCTCTTCA